ACACACACACACATACACACACCGGGACATGAGCGCCAGCAGTACGACTGCACACACGTGCGCTGCTGCTGCCTCGTTGTTCCCTCTTTGTTTTGAGCCTTGTTTGCTTGGACTCCAGCGGAGTGTGTGTGTCTCTTTCGCTGTCCACTTCTCTTTTCTCTAATGGGTTTCTTTTTATCATGGTTGATGCCGCCTGTGTTGTGCCTGCTGCTCCCTTCCGCTCCGTGTGTGTGTGTTGGGGCTGTCTGCTGTGCAGCGTCTCTCTTCTATCCTCCCTGCAGACCCCAGCTGTTGAAGCGATATTGAATCATGGTGACGGTGCGCCGCGTTGTGTGGGTGTTGGCCGCTGCTCTGTGCTGCACGGCCTTGTGCGTGACGGCTTCTGCGCCGGCGAGGGCGGCACCACTGAGCAAGGAGGAAGCTGCAATGGCCAAGAAGAGTGCCAAGGAGCTTGTTGCGGAGGCTCTGGAGAAGGCGGAGGCTGCGGCTTCGGCTGCCGAGGATGTCGTGCAGAGTACCCTCGATGTTTCTGGAGCCGCCACGAAGGAGGCGAGGACATCTGTGGGAGGGGCGGGGCGCAGTGCGTGGGCAACGAGGGCCGGCAGGGTTGAAAGTGCCGCAGATGCCGCGATGAATGCAAGGGAGGAGGCTGCACCGGCGTGGTGGACTGCAATCAGGGGCGTTGTGAAGGCAAAGGGCGCGCTGCAGACGGCCACGGAGGCGCGTGTGGCCGCTGCGATGGCGGAGGCGAAGGCTTTGCTGGGGGAGAGGGGCGCGGAGGACGATGCGTGGAACGCCAGGGACGCGGCGGAGCAGGCGGTTGCGGCAGCAGCGAAGGCCCTGCAGGCAGTGACGATGGCGAACGAGGCAGCGTGGGAGGCGAAGAAGACGTCGGAGCACGTCATGCATACCGCGTGGTTTTCGAACCCCCCCACCCAAGGGCGACGGCAGGTCGACCTGGTCGCAACGAAGATGGCTGATGGTGTGGAGGCGCAAGTTGAGGCTGCAAAGGTTATCGCCAAGGAGGCGCAGGAGCACGCGCGTCGCGTGAGCGACCGCCAAACAAGGCAGCGGCCTTCACGTCGGGGGCGGAGAGGGGCGGCTGATGCCTTCGCCGTGGCCAAGGAGGCGGCGGAGGAGGCCACCAAAATCGCGGACGAGCTCATTGCTCTCGTGGCGAAGGCTGAGAAGTACGCGAAAAGCGCTGGCGACGTGGCGAAGACAATCATGACGGAGGAGCAGACAAACCCCGCAACGAAGAGCGAGGCAACCGCGGACAGCGCCAGGGTTGCGATGAATAAGGCCGACGATGAGGAGGTGGTGGCCAAGCAGGCAATCGTGAGGGCCATGGCAGCAGCGGTGAAAGCGAAGTTGGCTGCGGCGAAAGCGGAGAGGATGTCCGATGCGGAAACCCAGGATGCGGTGGACAGGGCCGTGGTTGCAGCCGATCAATCCGTTGGCGCTGCGAAGTTGGCGTTTATGGCCGGGCTGGACGCGTGGACTGCGGGGAACCGCGCCCTGGTGGCCGCGAGGTACTCGGATTCCACGTACCTGGAAAGGTTTGTGAGCGGTATGGTTGCCTCAAGGATGGCGGCCACCGCAGTCTCCTCAGCGGCGACAGCAACGAATACCGCTAAGACGGTGAGTACAGATGCCGATGCTATTAAGCTGCTTGTGAAGGGTGACTATAGCAGAAATTCTTTGCGGGGGCGTGCAAAACTGATGCTGCTGCTGCTGCTGCTGCTGGCCTGTGTGGCCGTGTGGTGAGACCTGCGTGTGTGTCTGTGTGTGCGTGGGGCGGTGGTGCTCCGACCGTAATTCTGCTGAGCCCCGAGGACTGCACGCCTGATTGTTAAGATTCTTTTGTTTTCGTTTCTTGCTGCCCCGTTGTGGGCGTAACGCCGACCCACTTGCCCTGACGACGCGCACTGTGCACTGCACTTTGGGAGGGGGAGGCGTGTTTTCTTTTTTCTTTTCTTGCTTGGGCTTTGCTTTGCGCGCTGCTGTGCGCCGCCCACTAACTGTCTCTCCTGCTGGGGATTCTCTTTTCATCATTCTCTCTCTGTGTGTGTGTGTGTGTGTGGTGCGTCCTTCGCTCCGCCCGCCGTGTCTGCGCCGCGCACCGGGACACACACACACACCGGGACATGAGGGCCAGCAGTGCGACTGCACACACGTGCGCTGCTGCTGCTGCCTCGTTGTTCCCTCTTTGTTTTGGGCCTTGTGTGCTTGGACTCCAGCGGAGTGTGTGTGTCTCTTCCGCCGTCCACTTCTCTTTTCTCTAATGGGTTTCTTTTTATCATGGTTGATGCCGCCTGTGTTGTGCCTGCTGCT